ATATATTTTGCTTCTGTAGGCAAAAGGGTCTGATTTTGTGCCAACAAAGATTGGATTTTTATTGTATATTGAGCTAGATTTTGTTTTTGTAGGCAAAAGGGTCTGAGAATGGTGTGTGTAACGATTGAATTTTTTATCTAATGTTGAGCTATATTTTGCTTCTGTAGGCAAAAGGGTCTGAGATAGTGTCTGTAAAGATTGTATTTTTATGGAATATTGAGCTATATTTTGCTTCTGTAGGCAAAAGGGTTTGAGATAGTGTCTGTAAAGATTGAATTTTTATGGAATATTGAGCTAGATTTTGCTTGTGTAGGCAAAAGGGTCTGAGATGGTGCCTCTAATTGAGCCAGGGAAGGCAGAGAAAATGATGATAATGCTGAATAACACAAGGAGGAAGCTTGGGAGTTTTCAGATTTGTGCACTTTGCACTTGCTGTGGTGGGGCTAAAGCAGTATGCTTGCCTACTCCTTGTTGCTATGCTATCAATTGCAACATACCAAACAGGCCTTTTGGTTACTGTTCTTTCACTCCCAAAACTTGTAATTGTTTTGGATGCCATTACTAAATCCACAAGAAATCAAAAAGTACCTCTCTTTCTTTAAAAGAAAAGAATGAGAAAGGGAAGGAAAAAGTCAAATTAGATCTTTTTTTTGGTCTTTGATTTGTGTTTCTGTGAGTCTGAAAGGGGAGAGGAATATCTGTTCTTAGATTTGATTTGTTTATAATTGTTTGAAGGACAGCTATTTCCAGGTAATCTTTTGCTACTTCATGATGGGATTTGTGCCCTTAGCAGTAGTGTTAAGTTTTTACTCTTTCAGTAATGAAGAAAATGTGATTCTTTTTCTAAGTTGCAAAAAACTTGGATGAAGTACTAGTTTCAGATTGAAGTATAATACATATATCCATTGTGTTTCTCTCTCTCTTAATCAAGTTGTTTATTCAGTAAACTTGTTAGTATATTTTATTGATGTTGATAGTTTCTGTCATTATAAAATATTGTTTGCTTAGTGAGTATATCTACTGAGGTATTCATTACTGTCACTGTAGTTATGTTTATTGTCTCCATGTTTTGGCCATTAATTAATTGCTTACTGTTGTACCATTAAAGGTTATTTAGCATTAGAATTTCAATGTATGGATAATTTATTATAATACATCAACAAAACACTCAAACTTGGCCTTAACTAACAAGTAAGTAAGTACTCCAACTTTGGAAGTACACATCTAGACATCTCAACTTGGTGTCGATTGACAACTAAACACTCCAACTCATCCCCATTGTGTCTTGCGACAAATAAATCTTGGAGGTGTTACCAGTTAGTAAATTGGAATTTTCAAGAGACACAGTGGAGACGAGTTGATCTGTCTAGATGCGTATACTCAAAGTTAGAGTTTGAGGTCAAGTTTAGTGTAAATGCTGAACCTAAGGTCGAATTTCCTTTTGTTGTCATAACAGCTAGTCAATGAGAAAATGGTGTGCTGAATTTATTAATAAGTAGGACAATTTTTGTTTATTATTGATGTTGAAAGTGTCTTCATGTGATATTGGTTTACTCTTAGACAAATGATGCAGCCCCCACAAGTCCCTATTATGTTTAAGGGAAAGTTTGGGAGAGAGCTTTAACTTATCCTAAGCAATAAAGACATTAGATGGGCTTTTATTGCTTGTAGAGAAGGGAATGAGTGAGGTTGTTGTCAATGTAAACAAACTTAAAGATTATGGTGGGTAGAAGTTGAGGTAGGGTAGTTAAACTCAGCTACCATAATAATGCATTGTTGCAGTGTTGTTCAATTGTATAGTAGTATATTCTATGTCTATTGCATTTATAAGTTATAGTTTACTTTAGGTCCTACATTTTCTGGGAGTCTTTTAGTGTTACCGTAGATTATACGCCGGTAGAGAATATAGAGGACTTCTAGTAATTGTTTTTTTTTTATTTTAATGAGCGACATGATCAATGGGGATTCATGTAGCCGATATTAACTTGCTTTGGATTGAAGATGCATAGCTGGTTTGAACTTGTGTGTCAAGTTCATCTTTCCTCAAGAAGAAAAGAAAGTAGTAGTAGTAGATTAAATGGATGGTAGATTGAGCATGTGGTGGCATGGGCACATGTAACCCCCCACCCCCTTGTTTTTTTTTTTAAATAATGGTGTGGTGTTCGAGTCAGTTTGTGTGTATCTTGATTGTTCTTCGGGATATATGTTTCCTTCATATCAGTTATGTTGTTCAGACTCTTCAAAAATGTTGCTACATTAGTGTATTACTTTTGGAGGATTCGACACGTGCTAGAGTTCGAGCAACTCTACTCACTGAGATTTAGACAAATGCCAAGAAGTAATCTTGGAATTTTATTTTGTTTCAGCTAAGAATTGAACCTCATTATCATGTGTTTTTCAGTTTGTTTGTTTACCTTTGAATCTTTATGACCCCTAAATTATGCAGCTTGTGAGTATTAAATGAACCAATCAGAATTGTGGTGGAATGGATATAAGTTCTTTATTTTTAATTAGAGATCTCGAGTTCGAATTTTGTATATGAAAAGATCGTGTTAGGGGATGCTTTCTCCTTAAATGAACCTTACGTTGGCTGAATTTGGATTAATCGGAGCCTAATATGAGCATCAAACACCAGATATGAGAAATAAAAAATAAAATAAAATGACAATGTGAATGGGTGGGGGACTGGTGATGGCCATCCAATTCTGAATCTGCTGTTTTTAAAACTCTTTGACTCTATAAATGAGTGTGTAGGGAATCTAATTGACCTTTAGTTTAAAACAATTATTTTTAGCAACCCATGTGACATGTCCTTAGGATAATTTAAGAAGATTTGCATAATTGAATTGTATATTTTTTTTTCTTTTGATCATCGAGAAGTACAGTGGGATGAATGCGATTTTTATAATTTTGAAAGTATATAGGTTCAAATTTTGAGAATTGAGAAGATTATTATAGAAAACATCTCTCTTTTTGTCAACTTGAATTCAAATTAGTCGTTATAACTTGCAATTCGATTTTAAACTTAACCCCTACTCGACGTAGAATTAAGATTCGAACCCAACTTTCCTAACTTAAAACCTCAACTCCAACCTTGACTCGAGACCTACCTCGACCTTAGACCCTATTTTGACTCAAAACTAGCCGTTTGCTGGGATTATCATCCTAACCTCCACTTGACTTGGAATTCCAACCTTAACCTCAACCAAAGACCCAACCACCACCCTAACTCGAGATTTGATATAACCCTAATTTAAGATCGACTCACCCTGACTTGACTAGAGAAGCAACTCGAGACTAGACCTCTACCTGTTACACGACTTGTGACCCAACCTCGATCTTAGACTTGACCCCAACCTTAACTCAAAAATCCAATCCCTACTGCATTATGGGACATAACCGTGACCCTACAAAGAACTTGACCCCAATTCGGGGGTCGTGTCTACGGTTCAATCTTGGGTTGGATCTTCACTCAGGGTCAAGTCTCTAGTAGGGGTTGGATGTCTCGAGTCAAGTTTTAGATTGATGTCATTGTCTTGATTTTGGGTCAGGTATCTATGGTAAAATGTGGGGTTTAAATTCAAAATTATAATATTTACCTAGATTATATCAATTGCTTCTAGGATGATATATTTTTCTTACTCATCAAACGTCAAAAAACATAATTAAGAAAATAATTTATTCTCCGAAATCTCCTTACCAACCACACCGTAAAAATAACTTAAATGTTTAATTTTTTTTTGTTGGAATGACATTAATCGAATATTTCCAAAAAAAAAAAAGGCTTAATAAGTTGGACAAAAAATGTACATTGCTAAAATACTACTCTATAAGTCTACATTAAAAAGAAAATATATTTCCATATTATAGCAAACAAGTGGCAAAAGGATAAAATAAAAGAGGACCATATATGTGTATTGAATTGAATTAAATAGAAAAATGAAGTCAAAATAGGCATGTGCTTCTCTGTTTGAAATGTTGGTACTCTCTCATCATTTATATAAGGGTTAAATCATTGTTGATTCCTAAAATTATTAATTTAGTTATTTGAAAATAGACATTTTTAATTACTCACAAATTTGCCATACTCATAAATTATTTCATCACTTAATTTTTCACGTGTTATATCAATTTTGTACTATTTTAGTCGATATTTGACAATAATATAGTTTTAAATATAACATATTTCCTCCATAAAGGGACCAAAAGCACATTTAAAGATTATAGGTTATAGTAATAAATATCACGAGGATCAAAATTAAAATTTACCATCAATTAAATGACTAAAAGTGCTATTATTCCTTCATAATTAAGAACAAGAGCAATACAAACTAACGATAATATATGAATGACCTTAAAGTATAACGAACATTAAAATTGAGAGGGATATATTTGTCCCTTTTCGTTATATAATATTTCTACGATAATCATAAAACTGATAAAAAATAAAAATGAAAACTTGCTAAATTTTGTTAAAAAGGTAAAAGCTTACTCAAAATATTACATATATTACTCAAATAATGTGTCAAACTTCCATATATATATACACAATTTGTAACTTTATAGAAACTGTACATTTTTTCTTGTGTTCTAAAATTATAATTCATTCACCTTACATTTCTTAAACATCATATCTACTTCTTTAAAACTGTGAAACTCACAGATTTGATGTGTCCTTCCTTCTGTTAACGCGAAAATTAGCAGTTAAATGTGCAAACATTGCCTATCTCCATTTCTTGAATCTGCAGCATCTCGCGTTCATTTCATCCTTTTTCAAGAACCTATACGTGGAAAATGAGCCATTTGGATCAAACCAAGGTGGAAATCGATGAAAAAATGAGTTGATTTTGTCACCTCTACGAGTACCTGATGTACTTAAAGTCCATGTAGAGCAATACTTTACTTTTCTGACTCTGGATAGAGATCCGTCCAACATGTGTCCTCGTTGACAGCTTGTTTCCATCGTCTTTTGAATATCTTATACTCGTTGTATGATTGTCTTCTCACCTGAAGAAACTCACACACATAGCCAGAGTCAAGTAATATGGCTTCGCGTTTTGAATGAATATAAAAAGTGTTAAGTGTATGTTACTATATATATAGTCGACCTCAACTGGCTTGGAATTGAAGCTAACTAAAAGCTGAACACAAAGACAGGTAGATGTTTACCTCCACTCTGAAATTGGGAGTATTGGGTTGAGTTGGTGCCTGCATTGATGAAAAGACGCATCAAAACTCATACGTGAACACATCTAACATGGTGGTCACGATAAGAGGTCGTGGAGGACACATATTAGGATAGCAGGTTAGTAGGTAGTAGAGCGTTGTCTCGCTTATTTTTCCATATTAGTAGTCATAGTGTTATTCGTGTAGCTTCTTGTACTTCGATTATTTCTTCACTTCCACTATTTCTTGTTTCGACCATCTTTGAAATGTTTTTCCTTGAGCCGAGGGTCAATAAGAAAAAACATCTCTACTTCCCAAGGTAGGAGTAAGGTTTGCGTACACTCTACCCACCTTCCAGACCCAGACCCCCTCCCCCCCCCCCTCCTCGTGGGATTGTACTAGGTAAGCTATCCACTCTTTTTCGGTATAAACATCATCGATCACTGTATAAAGTTATCGAACACATACTTGTTTTCCAAGGCTTGTGATGTTTTCTCCACCCACTGTTGAATTCTTCTGCATGATTGACATCAACAAGAGAATTAATTGTTTGACAAATAAGAAACGATGATTTAGAACTCGTAATATAACTCACAAGAATGTTGTTAGTGTGGAGCACAAGCATAACAGGTTACACATAGAGAGGAAACTTTGTTGCTGCATATTGCATAACATTTCTCTCTATGGATGAAATGAACTCAAAACAGTCGATTCAATGGAGCGAATGTGTATGTAAAGACTGTCAATCAGGTATGAACATTAACCAAACGCGACTGATTCATTATATAGCTGTATATACATTTTTTCATGTGTCTGTTGCAGATTTCAAAGTTCATTTTAAGTATTCTTATGGATTGTTTTTGTTGTGTGGTAGTTACCTTCTTTTCAGGTTCTCCTAGTGTCGGAAGGCCGTAATGAACAATGTATTCAGCATCAACAACTCCAATATTTCGAGTTCTATCTCCCTATCACGAAAATGAACCAAAAGAGCATCAACAACTCATGACTGTAACTCAAACGAGCTATCGATATAACAAACGAAAAATAAATGCCCTGTCTCATATCCAGAACTACCTGTGCACAGTAACCAAGCTGAATGTCTAAACCCCAAGCATGGATCAAGTCATTCTGCGAAACAACGATAGAAGGAATAAGAGGTAAATATCGATTACTCCTTCTGTCTCAATTCGTATGTCTAGTTTTGACTTTTCACGGAGTTTAAGAAAGTAAAGAAACTTTTGAATCCGAAAGAAGGGTAGTAAGGCAAAACAAATTGAAACAGAAGGAATAACTTTATTTCAACGACCAAATTTTAACAGTTAAATATACGTAATGCAGTTATAGCATGACATATATAGTTGTTATCGACAATACAGTGTTTCTAAAAAGGAAAAACCTGGATCATATACCAGACGCAGCGCCAGGCAGCGTGGGAAAACACAGGAGCCATTACTTCTATCCATCTGCAATATCAGATACTCCTTATGAGTTCCGAAAAATAATTGAGTTTCGATCTTTTCAATGCAGAAAAGGAGATTACTGCTACAACAATTCCTAGTTATTTCCCATGAAGATATCCGCGACAAGGCATAAAACAAAATTAAGTTACCCTGTACAAGGAGGAGCCATACTGGTATAGTCACATCGAGTGCCAGTATCGCCAGCCTTATAAGTCCTTCTGCAATGTAATGTGTTAATCATGTTTCAACATCAAAATCTATGGCCAAACAAGAGCTTTAAGACGGAAAATTGTTGATAAGAACCTGTGCACTCGTGATCTCCTCCCGCGAGCGGTAATCTGATGATGCACCTCGGATTTTCCAATATCTAGAGCTGGTTGCGAAATCTCAAGACCTTCATCTTTTACAATAGATATGTATCTACAAGGATGAAACAAGTCGGGTTCAGTAAATGCAGTAAGTCGATTAGATGCTTTGCATTTATTTATAGTTCCGTCTTTTAATCTCTTGTATATGAGCTACTCTCCTTACAGTCAAGTTACTTCAACTACTAAACAAAAAAAGTTTGAATTTTCGTCTCTGATAGGTGTCTTTTTCATTACCAAAAGACGGGAGATCCTTGGGCGGGGATGGTCCTGCATTTGTTTGTCTGATTTTGACTTGACATGGAGTTCAAGAAAATAAATGAGACTTTTGAGTCTCGTGATCTTAAACATGTCATGTGGAAAGTTAGAACGAAAGAGTTGCTGAAAAAGGGAAAAAAGAGAAGTTTTTTTTGGAACAGACTAAAGGAAAGTATACCAACTTTCACATACCGGTTTAGGTTGAATTTTTCAACTCCGAGGTCTTCATCCCAGAGGAAGATATAACTATACTCAGCAACTATATCTGGATGTAAAAATCTCTTTGCAAACCACCTGTTATTTTCACAACATTCGGAAAATGTCAAGATAGTTTTGGTTCAAACACAAGACGTTTCTAGACTAAAGCAACTCCGTCTGAGATGCAAATAGAAACTGTACCATTTTGTTTGATTCAAAGCTGAGATGTGTATTACACTGTTACTCCATTCAAAAGTCCTCCATCCATCGACATTACCATCGTAGTGAAAAAGCATCACCACAAAATCACTTGATAGAAACTACGAACCAATTCAATAAACGAACTTATGGTTAACTCTGTATATGTCATAAAAATATGCAACGTAACAGAACACACACCTTTAGTACCATCTTGTTTACTGTTTCTTTTTGCTTTATCCCAACAGCTGCAGCAAATAAGTACTTTGAAGGCTCTTTTTTCTGTTAAAAACCGAAACATGTTAGTAGCATACGCTTCTGTTTTACTTTTCTTTTTAGTCCGTTTCAAAAAGAAAGTTCCTTCTGCAACTCATTATGTCTAGGAATTTTATTTGCAGATAAATTCAACTCTGCATTTGAAACTTATGAGGAACGCGGAGAAGATGGATATGAATATAACCTCTGGATAACCCCATAATGGCCGTCTTTCAAAGTTAGACGTCTTGGCGATGATACCTTCAGGTAATGTTTCACTTCCATTAGGCCTGCATTGACTCTAAAATGGATGACACAAATCATTTTACGCGAAGAATATAATCAAGGTACTCAGAAGCTAACGAATAAAAGAACAAACCTCACATGATCTTCCTCCTTTCCCCCGCAAACTTCTCTGCATAATAGAGTTCTTATGATTATCATCCATTCACATTGTGCATCACTAGAACAACAATTTACACAAACACCAACTTTCCATTTTAGTCTGTTTCAAAAACATGTTTTTTTCCCGTTTCTGACAATTCTTCAACTTCAACTTTCCACGTGACATGTTTAAAACCACAAGACATATCCAAAACCAGACAAACAAATTGAAACAGAGGGGTACTATCTTGTCCATTTTTTCAACTTCATCTTGAAACAGAGAATTTGAAGATGAGAAACTTAGTTTTTACTCGCAAAACTTCAACTTTTTTCAAGTGATTCATGTCCAAACACAAATGAAACAAGTACTCCTTTTCAACTTCAACTTCAAAAACTCATTTTTATTTCAACTTCAACCAGATATATATGTTCAAACGGGGAACGTCTATGGGATATTCCATAAACTACAGAAGAGGTCAAGTGAATTCGACATGTACCTGAGTATCATTTTCTGTAAAGTCGCTCCTTAACAAGAGAATCAAACACAAAAACGAAGCTGTAGGAAAGATCGCGTAGAAACATGACCTCCTAAATTTTGAATCTTTGAGTAGTGACACCTAAAAATACCAAAGAAAGAGTCTCATTTAGCACATTGAACTGAACATTGCAAACAAACAAGCAAGCTGATTTTTACTTATCCATAACCAAAAGTCATGTATTGCTACAAGCTATATTGCTCGGACTCCTCAGAAATGATGTTGGGTGCGTGTTGGATCCTTCAAAAAGTAGTGTATTCTTGAAGGATCAGACATACCTGCGGAAGCATTTTTCCGAGAGTCTTGAGCAACATAGGCTACAAGATCAAACCTTCTTTGTATTACTCAAAAAACTCTCAACATCAAGATAGTGACTTTCTTCTTTGATGACTAGTAAACCCCAATTCACGATAAAATATGATAAGAAAATCAGAACATTCGTATCAATGATTTACACAAAAACTACAAATGGAGTCGAATCAAGTATATAACCAACGGGCAAGGGCGGAGCCAATTAGGAGCAAGAGACTCGTATATACAAGGTTATGATTATTTTTTGTGTATAAATAATAGATGTTAAATTACTTCTTTAAATTTTGAAGAAATTTCTGGCTCCACCACTACAAACAGGTTCAACTAGTATTCCCAACATAGAAAAATGCTAAATTCTTATACAAACATTAAATTCAGAACCCATAAATTTCAAAACTACAAACATTTTCAATCGTAAGAACACGAGCTCATCAAATTCAAATCCTGAGTAGACAAACAACATTTGCATGAACTTAACTATTAATCAATGTTAAACACATGCAAATACTACAACAACAAAAACAACATATCCCCTGCAATTCTACAAGTGGAGTCCCCTGTAATTCTACAAGTGGGGTTCGGAGAACATTAATATGTATAACATACAATAGTTATATATAGATTATTTCTGATAGACCCCTACATACAAATACATTGAAATAAAAAAGAAACAAAAACTTACAAACGGCCTCATGTTCTTTGAAACAAACAAGAATAATCAACTTGCTGCCTTTGGCTTTTTTTTTTTCATGGATTCAACATTTTTTTTAATAATAAAGAAAGCATTTTTTTAGAATGCAATTTTTTTTTTAAAAAAAGGAATTTTTCAAGATTCAACTTATTTTTTGCAAAATTTGAGAAGAAAAAAGAAGAACTGTTAGAGAAAACAATAAGAATGGGGAAATTGTAGGGAAAAGAAATTGAGTCAATTTGTTTCAATGATGCCTATAGTGGGGGGATGTTGTGGAAGATATTGCGCCGTTTTCAACTACCAATAAATTTACGCACAAAAAAAATATGAGAATTTAATAAATAAAATATATTTCATGTATACCTTATTTATTTTGGATACTAGAAAAATTATCAAATTTAATAATTTAATATTATGAAATTTATAAAATAATATTTGAAATTAAACTAATCTGACGTGCGAGATACACTAATCTAATACGCTGATACATTAATGTGATGTGTGAAAAATGAGAGATTTTGAGAATTTGCAAAAACTAATAGGGGATAAAAGATAATGGTAATAAGAGAACTTAAAGGTGAGATTTCTGTCACTTTCTCTAAAATTTATATTAAAACTAAAATACTATATTATCTTACATACATAGTAACAAACATTAATAATATAAAGAAAAATAAAAATTATTACTATCTTATAATTTATCCTTAATAGCATAAGATGACCGTAAAAGTACATACTAGAATCTGTAAAATAAAAAATAGTGTTAGTGAGTCACTCAAAACAAGAGTAAAATACTCAAATATTAAATTGTGAAGAAGAAAAAGAAGAGGTTCATAATTTTTATTGTTTTTTATTTATAGACAACAAACAGTAGTGTGAACATATATTTACCGTGCCTTATCGAATATCTCATAATCTTTCATAAAACTCGCAACCCTTCGAACATTTTTTCAAAAAAACTAATTTTGAAAATAAAGAAATTAAAAGAAAATTTTATTTTATGGTGACGCTACGGAGTTAGAGTTCTCTTTTTATATAAATATATGATTATAAAAATATTTTTTAAAATTGATTAGTAATAAATAAATAAATAAAGAGGAATAAATAGGATTTAAATTGATTGAAAGAATTAAAAAAAGATTTTAGTTGTGATGTGTAAATGTGGACGCTTCTTCAAACGCCTCCTCCTCCACCTCCATGTGGTGTGCAAAATCCTTATTCATCCCGTCGTATCTCAACCGCGTTTGGCCATTCTACCGGTAATGACAGTGCTAGTAAGAGTATCAACTTATGTCTCCGTTGTAATTATAACGATTCGATACAATCATATTGCAAGAAAGGAGAACTCAAACAAGCCCTTCAGCTCCTTTCTCAAGAACCCAATCCCAATCAACATACCTACGAACTCCTCATCCTCTCTTGCTCCGAGAAAAACTCATTCCACGATGGTTTAACTGTTCACCGTAAACTTATCGATGATGGGTTCGAACAAGATCCGTTTTTGGCTACTAAACTCATTAATATGTACTCTAATCTCGACTCTATTGACCATGCACGCCAAGTGTTTGATAAAATTAACAACCGAACTATCTTCCTTTGGAATGCGTTTTTCAGGGCATTGACATTAGCTGGAAATGGTGTTGAGGTGTTGAAATTGTATACACGGATGAATTCGATTGGAATCATATCTGATAGATTCACTTATACTTATGTACTCAAGGCTTGTGCTGTTGCTTCTCTACCTAAACATAAGGAAATTCACGCCCAGCTATTTAGACATGGTTATCACACTCATACGCATATTATGACTACGTTAATTGATGTATATGCTAGGTTTGGTTACGTAGAGAATGCTGCTTGTGTCTTCGATCAAATGCCACAGAAAAACATGGTTTCGTGGAGCGCAATGATTGGTTGTTATGCGAAGAATGGGAAACCTCTTGAAGCATTCGATGTTTTTCGTGATATGATGAATCATGTTTTGTTACCAAACTCGGTGACAATGGTTAGTGTGGTTCAAGCTTGTGCAGCACTGGGTGCACTAGAGCAAGGGAAGGTATTACATGGATATATACTAAGAAAAGGGCTTGATTCTATTTTGCCTGTTCTTAGTGCCCTTGTGACAATGTATGCAAGATGTGGTGCTTTAGAATTGGGACGAAGAGTGTTTGATCAGATGGGAAAGCGGGATGTTGTTGCGTGGAATTCCATGATTTCAAGCTATGGAATACATGGATTTGGGGGCAAAGCGATTGAAACGTTTAGAGAAATGATTCGACATGGAGTGTCACCAAGTCCAATATCATTTGTTAGTGTATTGGGAGCTTGTAGTCATGCAGGGCTTGTTGAGGAAGGGAAAGAGTTATTCGATTCAATGTTGAAAGAACATAATATCTGCCCTACTGTGGAACACTACGCTTGTATGGTTGATCTACTTGGAAGAGCGAATCAGTTGGAAGAAGCAGCTATAATCATTCAAGATATGCGGATTGAACCAGGACCGAAAGTTTGGGGTTCTCTTCTTGGATCATGTAGGATTCATTGTAATGTTGAACTTGCGGAGAGGGCAAGTAGAAGGTTATTCGAGCTTGAACCGACAAATGCTGGGAACTATGTACTTTTGGCTGATATTTATGCAGAAGCTAAGATGTGGGATGAGGTTAAACAAGTAAGGAAGCTTTTGGAGGCCAAGGGATTGCGGAAAGTGTCTGGTTGTAGCATGATTGAAGTAAAGAGGAAAATCTATTCTCTCCAGTCGGTTGATGAACTTAACATCCAAATTGAGCAAATTCATGCGTTGTTGCTAAAACTATCAACGGAGATGAAACAGAACGGGATGTATGTCCCAGATACCAGAATTGTGCTGTATGATCTTGAAGAAGAGGAGAAAGAACGTATTTTGTTAGGTCACAGCGAGAAATTAGCAGTCGCTTTTGGTTTGATTAATAGCAGCAAAGGAGATCCTATACGGATTAGTAAGAACTTGAGGTTATGTGAGGACTGCCACTCATTCACCAAGCTCATTTCGAAATATACAAACAGAGAAATTCTAGTCAGAGACATCAATCGATTTCATCATTTCGCCAATGGGGTTTGTTCCTGTGGAGATTATTGGTAGACTTGTTCATTCTCTTTCCTCTAACAAAGCCAACTTTCATAAACTTTATTCCGTTTTATGTATTATCCATTTAAGTTTTCGTTTTGTGAACACTCTTATCGTTTAGTTTGAATACAAGTTATGCTTACTACCTCTCAAGTTAGTTTTGAAGCTTCAGTAGATGTACATCCTCCGTGGACCTGATTCTGTTCGCGTTC